ATGAGGAAGACCAGAGACAGATGAGGAAGACCAGAGACAGATGAGGAAGACCAGAGACAGATGAGGAAGACCAGAGACAGGTGAGGAAGACCAGAGACAGATGAGGAAGACCAGAGACAGTTGGGGAAGACCAGAGACAGATGAGGAAGACCAGAGACAGATGAGGAAGACCAGAGACAGATGAGGAAGACCAGAGACAGATGAGGAAGACCAGAGACAGATGAGGAAGACCAGAGACAGATGAGGAAGACCAGAGACAGGTGAGGAAGACCAGAGACAGATGAGGAAGACCAGAGACAGGTGAGGAAGACCAGAGACAGATGAGGAAGACCAGAGACAGGTGAGGAAGACCAGAGACAGATGAGGAAGACCAGAGACAGATGAGGAAGACCAGAGACAGGTGAGGAAGACCAGAGACAGGTGAGGAAGACCAGAGACAGGTGAGGAAGACCAGAGACAGATGAGGAAGACCAGAGACAGATGAGGAAGACCAGAGACAGATGAGGAAGACCAGAGACAGGTGAGGAAGACCAGAGACAGATGAGGAAGACCAGAGACAGGTGAGGAAGACCAGAGACAGATGAGGAAGACCAGAGACAGGTGAGGAAGACCAGAGACAGATGAGGAAGACCAGAGACAGATGAGGAAGACCAGAGACAGGTGAGGAAGACCAGAGACAGGTGAGGAAGACCAGAGACAGATGAGGAAGACCAGAGACAGATGAGGAAGACCAGAGACAGTTGGGGAAGACCAGAGACAGATGAGGAAGACCAGATACAGATGAGGAAGACCAGAGACAGATGAGGAAGACCAGAGACAGATGAGGAAGACCAGAGACAGTTGGGGACACCATGTGATTATTTACAGTGAAATGCATTTTTGACCTAATTTTAAGCAATATATCTACTTTATGATATTAAATTAGCTCAACTCTACCCTGAAAACCACTTTATTTTCCGCACACAATTAGTTTCTCTAAATGGCATTTTCAGATGTGCTGGAAGTGTGTGTGTGGGTGGGTGAGTGAGTGAGTGAGTGAGTGAGTGAGTGAGTGAGAGTGAGTGTGTGTGTGTGTGTGTGTGTGTTGCTGAACGCCTGTGAGTCACTAGATTACAGTATGAGTGGATATAGATTAGTGTTTAGGGAACACACACTCACTCTCTCACACACACACACACACACTCTGAAAGTACAGAACAATGTCGAAGGTGTCGGCTCGTATCCGGTTCTGTATGATCGGTTTAATATGATCTGATCTTCTGATTCGAGTCCAAGTTTAAAATAATAAATGGATTTGATTCACTGGATTATATAAATATTAGGGGTGTGACGAGATCTCGTGCCACGAGATCTCGCGAGACTAAATATGACGAGATTTCTCGTCGAGTGAAAAAGCTGTCTCGCGATATCCCCATTAATATTCCACCGCTACACTCACATTCGCCTAAACTATCGTTTTGTTGTTTTTATAAAAAAATAAAAACCATTATAAACTAATGCAAAAGTCTGCTCTGCTCATCCAGCACGAGTTGCCGTTGCAATCAGTGCAGCACGAATCACAGTTCACTGATCGCGTGACGATGGCGGAGGATTCGTTGCGCAACAGACTAAACGTCTGGTAAATGTCTTATCATTTAGAATGCGCGCTCAGCACCGCTGCTCCCTATACGCGCGGTCACGAATTTGTAAGTGAAAGTAAAACACAAGCTCCCTGATGTGCATTGCGCACAAATTAGGCTGCATACATAAAATAATCCGTCTCCCAATACCCATCTCTGGACAGTTTATTTGCGGCTCTGGTCTCTGTTGGCACTGCGAATATTGAGAGAGCACTGTAACGTACAAAGGACAACAGACAAGGGAGGCTCCGTTTCTGAACTTATAATCGGAACGCAAGAACAACTGTAGAGACAAACAGCCTCGTTTCTCTCGGCCTTTTCCGAACTCACCGCATTAACCCTATAACTGCCGGTGCAAAATAAAACCGCAATTTCACAACAATTATAAAGAGTCTGTGTGCTAACTTTGATTATGGTTGCACTCGCACTTATTGTTTGCACTTAATAAGACTAAGAGAAAACAGTTATTTATTTTTGTTATTTATACGGTTTTTATTTCTCTGTTAAATGTGTGTTAAAAGGAGTTCAGTTAGGAGGTCACACACAGCCTCAATCAGAAGTTCTGAAAGCTCTTAAATGTACAGTAAGGTCTGAAGAGACTAATGTGAAATTATACAGGAGAAAAGCCAGTCAATAAAAACCTTTTACAGTGCTTGAATATTGTTTTCTTTCAATGCATTTGATAATTCATACTCATAAAGTAGACCTGAAATGACATGCATTAGAAGATTATTAGTTAAAACATTGAAAAATGCACCTGCATACTATTTTTCCAGCCATGAATTTTGTCATTGAGGATTTCTGAAAAATTGTGCAAAAATCTCGTCTCGTCTCGTTCTCGTGAACCCAATCTCGTGTCTAGTCTCGTCTCGTGAGATAAGCGTCTCGTCACACCCCTAATAAATATGGTCATGACCACGTGATTATTTACAGTGAAATTAATTTTGCGCCTAATTTTGAGCAATATAGCTACTTTATGATATTAAATTACTACTGTGATATACAGCTTTGGAGAGCTCAACTCTACCCTGAAAACCACTTTATTTTCCACACACAATTAGTTTCTCTAAATGCTATTTTCAGATGTGCTGGAAGTGTGTGTGTGTGTGTGTTGCTGAACGCCTGTGAGTCACTAGATTACAGTATGAGTGGATATAGATTAGGGAACACACACTCACTCATACACACACACACACACACACAGTGTCCTCTGAAAGTACAGAACAATGTCAAGGTGTCGGCTGTATCCGCTCCGGGTTCAGTTTCACATTTCCAATAACTTGACGTTCATGTAACATGAAACTGAGGGACTCGCCCAGCAGAACCAGACGATCCGCATATCATCAGACCCGGGTCACAGCACGAGGCCGGCTGACACGTACAGGGACTGGTCATGGGCTAATCATTCACTAGTCGGCTAGTTATTTGATCTCTTTAAGGTTTGTCAGGGGATCAATTCAAGACGCTTCTCAAAGTGTTATCTACAGGTGAAACTCGAAAAATTTGAATATCGTGCAAGAGCTGATTATGTCTTATAGCTTTATGAAAACCCCAAATTCAAAATCTCAGAAAATTTGAATATTACATGAAATCAATAAAGAAAAAGGATTTTAAATACAGAAATGTCAGCCCTCTGAACAGTATAATCATGCATATGTATATAGTTTTATCTATTAAATATATTAGTTTCACCTTTTAATTTGAATTACTGAAATACTATTACTGTCAGCTGATAAAACTGATGGTCGACCGATATTGGTTTTTTTTTATGGCCGATGCCGATATCTTAGAGAGCAGGGCGGCCGATGGCCAATATAAAGCCGATATTTTTATATTTATATATATATATATATATATATATATATATATATATATATATATATATATATATATATATATATATATATATATACACACTTTAGAAATAAATTAGAAAACAAATCCTTATAATAAACATGCTTATAGTTTAGATGGCAACTTCTTGAGTCTGAAATCCTATTACTGAATTTTTCACAAAAAGTAATTATTTAAAAATATATGAATATGTGAATAAAAAGGAAGTAAACACTGTGACGGCACTCAGTAATCCGGTAATTTCGAGCGCAGTTAATCATATTTTTTTTCAAATAAAGACAAGGTAACGCACACATTAAATGATGTAGATGCACATTTGCTGAATGTTGACGGTAAATGATAAAGTAGCCTAAATGTTTGCCTTTTCGGTTACAAATAATATAAAAGCAAACGCTTTACTTTTCGCATACCGTACACTTTCTTTGTTTACCAGTTCTGTCTAACAAAGTATTCGCTATGTCTGACCGAGACCGTAAACTAGTGAAGACGGAGAATGTGTGAGGCTGTGTGATCCGTTCTCAGCGACGCCCGTCAACGTAAAAGTCCGGAGCGCGTCAAAATAAAAGTCCCGCTTCAGACACATCGGCCAATCAGGAAAACGAATCGGCCGATGCCTATATTTCAGAAATGCCAAATATCACCCGATTTATATCAGTCGACCACTAGATAAAACCCTCTCGAAGGTCTGAATCCTTCATCTAAAGCAAGTCAAGTCACATTTATTTATATAGCGCTTTTTACAATACAGTTTGTACAGAGATAACAGGAAAATAATGCAACAAAGTTTGTTTCCAGAAGAAAATAGCGTCACAGTCCAGCTTAAGTTCATTCTCTTTCATTTTTGTTGTAAGAAAAGTTATTAATTTAGTTTATATATATATATATATATATAGCCACTCTGGAGTAAAGCGTGATGTCATCGTCCAGTTCTCATATAATGGTGTCAACGCCGGCAGATCAATATTATTGTTGAATATTGAATTAAATGTTGAATTTAATGTCCCCAACTAAGCAAGCCAAAAGCCAATGGCAACAAAGGTGGAAATGCGACAGTATTTGAATATATGAATTGACCGTTCGCAAAGACCCGCCCCCTTTAGTTACTGTTGCTATGTCCGACAAGCCACGCCTCTCTCACACACACATGTCCTCACGCAGTGACACACACACATCGCGGAGCAGAGAGACACTGACAACACACTGACACAGACCAGCTTACTTTTGATATGAAACAAACTCTCACCTTTCCAATCTGGTCATTTTTTAAAGAAATTTGAACGATAAACACCGTTTTGTGTCTCTGTAATGTGTCTGACAGATCGCTCGGTTAAAGCCGCTCGTGAACCGATCATCTCTTCCTAGCTCACTTACAGCATCAAATAAACATGAATGAACATCAGAAGGAATGTGTTTTAACTGCGGAAAGACGTCAGTACACAAAAATGGCGGATTCGGCGGATGCCGGCTTATGATTGGTCAGATCGCCTGTCAATCAAACTCCCTGCGAAGGGTGAATTGAAGGCTCACCTGGTGGGCCCTGCAGATCAGATCCAGGTCGTGTTTGTGCAGGAACTTGGCCACCACTTCAGCTCCGAATGTGAAGGACACGCCTCGGTCGTTCTCGCCCCATCCCAACACGTCCTTATCCGGGTCGGACCACAGGAGATCACACAGAAGACCCTGATCCGGCACATCTGTGGGTCTCATGATCCTCCTGATCTGCTCCATGGACTGCAGATCTGGAGACAAACCTGAAGAACAGCAGAAACATCAGTCGCTAGTTCACTTTGCATTAACGCTTGCACCTTAATCCCATTTCAAAGTTTGTGTTGTTGTGCGTTTGAACGGGGTTTCTCTTAAAATGGTGTCGTGTTAATGTGATTGCATTGGACAAAAACTTAGACTTTTTTTTATTTTTTTTATACTTTGTCATTTATTGTGTGTTTTTTCCCCACATTGTAACACTTGTGATGTTTCCGGTCAAAAATGATCGGTCTACAAAAAAGTGCTTATAAATCTCTCATTAAATATAACATAAAAAAAACATAACATTATATATATTTATTTCTTTTAGAACGGTGTCGTGTTAGCGGCCCCTAAGTTAATATTAGGGCTGTCACTTTACGTTCGAAAATCTATTGCACAATCAAGCGGACCAACCAATACAAGTTTCACAAATGAAAATAGGGAATCGATTTTAACAGACTTTTTTTTCCTTTTTTTTTACCAAAAATGTGTGTTAGGTGGACAGATCAATACAGCACACAGAACATGTCGGATGCTGGAAAATAACAATGTCTTTCTGTTAACCAAATGCTTTTTAATATTCGCTATTACTTCAGTGCAAGTGAACAAGCGTGCCGTTATGTGTTGCGTAGTGACGTGTGTGTGTGTGTGTGTGTGTGTGTGTTCAAGTAAGCCAGAAATGCACAGATTCTGCGATACGCTGTGTTTAATATATCATGAGGATCACGAGTTGCGTATTTGCGCTAAATCCGCGCAGATTTGTCTTACACGAACTTCCCCAGCAAAGTGAGTAAACACAGAAACGCCAGATTGGCTCGTGATTCGACAGCGTTTCCCGCCAAAGTTCATTTGTACGCGCATCTGGCGAGTCGAGGTGTTAATCTCAATCCCTGAATGTTGCGCTCCTGTTTGTCATTGTGCTGAAACTTCACGCCAATAAATCATCAGGAATATTGCTGACTTGTGCGTCTCAAGCGCCTCTTTACGCTCGTCCTAACGCCTGTTAGGTGTCCGTGGATTTGCCTGTATTTGGTGTTGAAAATGGAAACGTCTTTAGACATGGAAATTCGATTCAATGAACACTTGTGTCTCAAAAATCGAACAGGATTTTTTCACAAAAGTGACAGCCCTAGTTAACAACTATTGATCTTCGCAACGGAAGTGAATCAATCAAAACTAACTTTATCTTGACAATAACTTTATTCTAGAGCTGCTGTAAAGCCTAAACACTCTCTGTTACTGTAATCTCCTGTTATCACTGTAAAGCTGATGTGAAACTCTATACTGTTAAAGTGCTGTATAAATGAAGGAGACTTGACATTAGGCAAGTTTATTTATACAGCACATTTCACACACTATGGTAAAGTGCTTTACACAGAAAGGAATTAAAATGATCACACAAAATAAAAGCAAGGAAATTAAAACAGTTATAAAAGGAATTAAAAGAGTAAAAAGATGATATATAGATAAACTTCTTATCTGGCAAAACTCAGGCGTTTCATATTTTTCACAGCTCCTAGTTTTACTCGCTGTCTCCAAAAGACCCGATCTCTCCCTAAAACCGGACATTAGCGGTGTAACGATGCCCTCATGTCATGGTCACGATAGTGAACTCACCATACGATATTACTGCGATACTCCAAGACACGTGGGAAAAGGTTAAGAAAAAAACGTACTGTTGATTAAAATGCTAAATTGTGTTACATTGTGTGTGAATGAACAGGCGTTTTGGACTTGGTGCTGAAACCCAAAGCACAGGACAATAGAGACGCCAGAATAACAATATTCATGATTATTTTAGACGAATATGCTTGTGCTGTCACTGACTAGAGATATATAAAATAATGTCGGACACTTTTACACAAATATTCCCACATTGCATTATCATACATTATAGTCAATATTATATATAGCAGTTTAATGTAGTACTGACACTAAAACTCTGAAAACGTGAATTTTACCTTTTTTTATTTTGGGTGAACTATCCACAATACATATGGTTGCATTTTTGTATCGCGATATACTGTTACACCCCTACTTTGCATTCCTAGTTTAAGAGAACCGAGGCCCTATAACGCTGCCTCTGTTCAGGCATTGCATGCGATACGCCTGGGATTCACACGGACTCAGTCAGAGATGTGGGAGATGATGTCAGTGCAAGTCATGAACCGATGAAGTAAGAGGATTTACACTCCCTAAACATTTAGTTTCGGTAAACAGAAAAGCAGATGTTCAGGCTTCAAACATCATGTATTAGAAGTCCGGCTTGCAGTTTAGTCACACAGAGTAAGAGCATCAGTGTTGAGGAATAAGTAACTAACTTAACTTATTTCAGTAGCTTTAGGAGAAAATTATTTTTTTTACCTAAGAAATAATTTCATAAACACTTCACTAAATTTTTTGTGTTTTTAGCACTTTTTAGTAATGTTTTTTGTTTGTTTGTTTGTTTTTAAATTCGAGGACGCATTAAATTGATCAAAAGTGAGAGTAAATATCCTTATAATGTTACAAAAGATTCTATTTCAAATAAATGCTGTTCTTTTGAACTTTCTATTCATCAAATAATCCTGAAAAATAAACGTATGACAGTTGCCACAACAATCTGACCTGTTTTCAACACTGATAATAATCATACATGTTTCTTGAGCATCAGATCCTCATATTAGAGTGATTTCTTAAGGATCATGTGACACTGAAGACTGGAGTAATGATGCTGAAAAATCAGAGGAATAAATTACACTTTACTGTATATTCACATAGAGAACAGCTGATTTACACTGGAATAATATTTCATTATTTTTACTGTATTTTTTAAATCAAATAAACGCAGCCTTGACCCCAAAATTCTGAAATAAAAAATTTATATATATTTTTTTTAACTAAATGTCCAGGAACAGCGTTTATGAAACTAACTTGTAGCATATAGAAAAAGATTAACACACATATTTGAGATTGGACATCAGACTTGTGTCTACCAAAGTTGTCCTATGACACATGGGTAAATTTTTTTGAAATTGAGATGTATACATAATCTGAAAGCTGAATAAATAAGCTTTCCATTAATGTGTGGTTTGTTAGGATAGGACATTATTTGGCCGAGATGCAACTATTTGAAAATCTGGAATCTGATGGTGGAAAAAAATCTAAACATTGAGAAAATCATCTTAAGTTGTGTGATTTTGCTGCATCCACTCACAAAATAAAAATTGTATATATATTTACGGTAGGAAATTGACTAAATATCTTCATGGAACACAATCTTTACTTAATATCCTAATGATTTTTGGCATAAAAGAAAAATGTATAATTTTGACCCATAAAATGTTTTATTGCCACAGATTCACCCGTGCGACTCGAGACTGGGTTTGTGATCCAGGGTCACAAATGTGTGAACTTTAATGTATACCATAAACACTCCACGTAGCAGAAGAGTCAGCAGGTGAAAGTCTCTCTGGGATATCTGGAGGTTTATCTACACTTATCAACGCTTACAACAGCACACACACACCTCCGTGACAGCAGAAGATCTTCTCGTCGACGATGGCGGCGATCGGCAGGCAGTTGAAGCAGTCCGTGAACGTCTTCCAGAGCTTGATGTTGTAGCGTCTCCTGCCTGAAACATACAACCATAAACATAAGCTTCGAGGTTCATTTAAAAATGAATGGTTCTATGTTAAGTGGTTAAAATGTAAATGAATAAAAAGACTCTACAGGGACAGAGTCTGCTAAAAATACACACACTCAGACTCAGAACTGCAACAGCGCTCAATAATTAATCCTGCTCTGCGTGAGTCACACGGAGTTGTTTAAGTGCACATTTTGTTCTTATTACAGATAAAAACATTAACACAGTCAAATCAGGTTATGCATTTGCTTCTGTGCATGTGGAGATGTTGACATGAACATCCATGACGCCTCAGGTTTCCAGCAGGATTACAATATACAGACAAACAATCTGGACACTTTAAATCAGGAACGCTATTGCAATATAATTTCGCATTAGTAGAACCAGATTAAGCTTATGCAAAAAGCAATTATATGATTTTGATTGTATGTGTGTGTGTGTGTGTGTGTTGGTGTTTGTCAGTTTAAATTTTTCCCCAAATTCAGCTTTTTTCCTATTTTTTTTATCCCTTTTTAAATAAATTAGAGTAATTATCAAAATTATGAATCTTAATTCAACAACAATTTATTTAAAGATAATTAAAATTAAAATTTTAAGGCCCCCAAAAAAACATTATTTTTTCCCAAATTTCGTATGATTTTCCCCAAATTTAGCTTTTTTCCTATTTTTTGGATCCCTTTTTGAATAAATAAGAGTAATTATCAAAATTATGAAACTTAAGTCAATTTATTTAAAGATAACAAAAATTTATTTCATTTTAAGGCCCCAAAAAAACGTTATTTTTTTCCCAAATTTAGTTTAATTTCCCAAAATTCAATTTTTTCAATCTAAATTTTTCTGGTTTCCATTTTAATGGTTTAACTGAATTTGAATAACCAAAAGGTATGTCTAATCAATAAAATTAATCATTTATTAAAAAATGTTCAATAATAGGTGCCTATGACATATTTTTTTATTTTTACAGAAATTCAGTCTACTGGTTAAATACAAAAATGCACAACAATTCCGTTTATTTTTTGGGAAACGGTGCACACAACGATTACAAAGTTTACAGCTACGATATAAAAAAAATAATTAAGAAAAATTGTGATATTCCTTAAAGAATTTTTTTTAAATAATTGTATTACTTTGAATAGTTCTGTACAATAATAATATATTTCAGTCATAATTTCTTCAAGTTAAACCAAACTTAATTTTTTAATTTTACTATTGGCGAGTTGTAGTGAGTGAAGACATTAGAGTTTCTGCTCGTTAACACAGACTTCATATTCATAAAACACTCTTTGTGTTTCGATATTCACAGACACTAGTCCATATCTCAACATGATGACGTGTACAGCCCTGATTTCCTTCATTCGTTCCATTTTTATGACAGGTTTTCCGCATATGCGATCACAGGATCACGGTCGCATCTCCTGCTCACTCACACTCGTCGTAGAAGCCGTAGATGCGGTTGATGGAGGCGCACTCGTGGTTCCCCCTCAACAGAAAGAAGTTCTCCGGGTACTTGATCTTGTAGGCCAGCAGGAGGCAGATGGTCTCCAGAGATTGCTTCCCTCGGTCCACGTAGTCTCCCAGGAACAGGTAGTTGCTCTCCGGTGGGTATCCTCCGTACTCAAACAGCCTGAGCAGGTCGTAGTACTGCCCGTGGATATCACCTGAGGGAGGACAGCGGCTCAGTTACTGAGGGAGGACAGCGGCTCAGTTACTGAGGGATCAAAAATTACCATTTAATACATGTATTTATAGACCCTCAGGAACATCTTACATGCAGATAAAACGCATGCAAGCAAAAAATAATAAAAGAAAAAAAATAATTCACAACCGATCGGCGATACATGTACAATATCACAGTATGCTTGCCTAAAGAGACGCGTTTTCGGACGCATTTTATTTAAAGGAGTAGTTTAATATTACAATTTCTTGATTATTTACTCTCCCGCACGTCATCCAAGATGTTCACGTCTTTCTTTCTTCTGTGGAAAAGAAATGAAGGTTTTTGAGGAAAACACTCCTCATTTCCTCCATATAGTGACTTCAATGGGGTCCAACGGGTCGAAGGTCCAGATGTGAGTTTCAGTGCAGCTTCAAAGTCTCGACACGATCCAGCCGAGGAATAAGAGTCTGATCTAGACAAACCAGCCGACATTTATAACAAAATACACACTTATATACTTTATAACCACTAATGCTGGTCTTCCACGAGCTGTGATGCGACACACGTTACGTGATCAGGGTGAAAGGTCACGCGTGTTCCGGCTCATAAATGTAGGATAGGGCGAACAACTCCATCTCATTTTCTCCTCCAACTTCAAAATTGCTCACATCGTTGTTTTACCTTTTATTTATTTATTTATTTTGTAAATGGCGTTTGTCTTAGTCTTTGTGCACGGCTTTGTAAACACTACGTCTGTTCTTACGCCTACGTCCCGCTTGACCTTTCACCCTGATTACGCAATGTGTGTCGCATCACAGCTCGTGGAAGACCAGCATTAGTGGTTATAAAGTATATAAATGTTTATTTTGTTATAAATGGCGGCTGGTTTGTCTAGATCAGACTCTTATTCCTCGGCTGGATCGTGTCGAGACTTTGAAGCTGCACTGAAACTCACATCTGGACCTTCGACCCGTTGGACCCCATTGAAGTCACTATATGGAGGAAATGAGGAATGTTTTCCTCAAAAACCTTCATTTCTTTTCCACTGAAGAAAGAAAGACGTGAACATCTTGGATGACGTGCGGGAGAGTAAATTATCAAGAAATTTTAATTTTGAAGTGAACTCCTCCTTTAATGACATGATGTAACTTCAATCAAAGTGCTTACATGTGTGAGAAACGACCGCTCATCTAACCAGACAATTACATCATGTTACTCACCGCAGACCTTCAGTGGCGCTTCCAACTCCAGGAGGATCGGCTGGCTGAGGAAGATCTCACGGGATTTCAGGCACAACCCACGAATCTCGTTCTCCTGAAGCTGGACGTTTTTGCCAGGCTTCGATCCTCTCACTGCAAACACACACACACAGAGTTAACCAAAGTTGCAGTTCGGCTCTTCGAGTCTAAACTGCTTGAAATATGATTGAAATCACTTTAAAAAAAAAAAAGGAAAATACAGTTCAGTGCAACATGTGCAGCGCAAGCCTGTCATATCGGCTACATAACATTATCATGAGAACATCATAATTGTGTGTTTGAGACGTGGATTTTAATGGTGAGACTTTCATTTTTCTAATCAGGCTCGCAAAAATGATATAAAAATTTGGATTTAGATTTATCAGCCGATATATCGGTTATCGGCTTTCAAATATAAAGAATTATCGGTTATCGGTCTCAGACAATTTTCATATCAGTGCATCTCTAGATTATGTTTATTACTTGACTGGATCTGATGTTGTTTTAACAGTTTCCCTTGTACACATTAGTATTATTTAAGTTTCATTTGGTTTTGTGTTATATTAGTTTTTATTAAAATTTAGTAATTTTGTTGTTTTTGTGATTTTTATATATATATATATATATATATATACACACTCACCGGCCACTTTATTAGGTACCCCATGCTAGTAACGGGTTGGACCCCCTTTTGCCTTCAGAACTGCCTCAATTCTTCGTGGCATAGATTCAACAAGGTGCTGGAAGCATTCCTCAGGGAGTTTGGTCCATATTGACATGATGGCATCACACAGTTGCCGCAGATTTGTCGGCTGCACATCCATGATGCGAATCTCCCGTTCCACCACATCCCAAAGATGCTCTATTGGGTTGAGATCTGGTGACTGTGGAGGCCATTTTAGTACAGTGAACTCATTGTCATGTTCAAGAAACCAATTTGAAATGATTAGAGCTTTGTGACATGGTGGAAGTAGCCATCAGAGGATGGGTACATGGTGGCCATAAAGGGATGGACATGGTCAGAAACAATTCTCAGGTAGGCCGTGGCATTTAAACGATGCCCAATTGGCACTAAGGGGCCTAAAGTGTGCCAGGAAAACATCCCCCACACCATTACACCACCACCACCAGCCTGCACAGTGGTAACAAGGCATGATGGTTCCATGTTCTCATTCTGTTTACGCCAAATTCTGACTCTAACATCTGAATGTCTCAACAGAAATCGAGACTCATCAGACCAGGCAACATTTTTCCAGTCTTCAACTGTTCAATTTTGGTGAGCTCTTGCAAATTGTAGCCTCTTTTTCCTATTTGTAGTGGAGATGAGTGGTACCCGGTGGAGTCTTCTGCTGTTGTAGCCCATCCGCCTCAAGGTTGTGCGTGTTGTGGCTTCACAAATGCTTTGCTGCATACCTCGGTTGTAACGAGTGGTTATTTCAGTCACTGTTGCCCTTCTATCAGCTCGAACCAGTCTGGCCATTCTCCTCTGACCTCTGGCATCAACAAGGCATTTCCGCCCACAGAACTGCCGCTCACTGGATGTTTTTTCTTTTTCAGACCATTCTCTGTAAACCCTAGAGATGGTTGTGCGTGAAAATCCCAGTAGATTAGCAGTTTCTGAAATACTCAGACCAGCCCTTCTGGCACCAACAATCATGCCACGTTCAAAGTCACTCAAATCAACTTTCTTCCCCATACTGATGCTCGGTTTGAACTGCAGGAGATTGTCTTGACCATGTCTACATGCCTAAATGCACTGAGTTGCCGCCATGTGATTGGCTGCTTAGAAATTAAGTGTTAACGAGCAGTTGGACAGGTGTACCTAATAAAGTGGCCGGTGAGTGTATATATACACACACACATATGTCTATATAGCTTTTATCAATAGTTTTTCAGTTTTAGTTTTAGTTATTTTAGTGCTTCAAGTTAAACTAAACGAAAATGTTGCTTTCAACTAGCTGAAAAAATGGGGGGTTTTTTTATTTTATTTCCTGTTAACCAGGGCTCCAGACTAACTTTTTTCACCTCCGTCCTGAAACCATCCTGATAAACAATTTGAACCGTCCTAAAGTGAATGTCAACCGTCCCAAAATGAAAATATTGTTTCTGTACTTAATTATCATCTATAGTATATAGATATATATTATATTTAGTTAGCTCCATTCAAAGTAGTTATCTGTAAATAGGTAAAAAACAGATTAAATAAAAAATAAAAGGAGTTAAATGCTTTTTTGTATTCATGCAGAACAATTTTTTTTTTTTTTTTTTTACTTGGTTGGATTAAACAATAACAAATAAATACTGGTGACTACATCTCAAAGTGGTAATGTGTCATAGCTGATCATCTGGAAATGTGTTATTAAGAGAAAGGGCTTTAAAAAGTGTAATATGACTTCTCTAGAACACAGAATTTGGGGGGAAATCTGTGTCTCCGTCTCAGTCTTTGTACTGACTGAGGTCTTTGTGCCGGAGAAAACATTAACCTGTTAATATGAATGATTTTAAAGTTTGAAAATGCAATACAGATACAGATTTAACTACTGTGACTTAAAAAATATCTTAAAATTAAATAAAACCACTTTTCCTAGAGTAGAACACACCAATTAATGATATATGCATTCTTTTTAACTTGCATACATCATTCTTTATTTTTTCAAGCAGCAGACATTTATTTGTATGAATTCAATATTATGAATCCTTATTAAAGCTATTAACGAGCAGTGAATGCTTTTCTCTTTTTCTTTTGTTGCTTGATCAATATTAAGGACACAGACCGCATTAGGTTTATTGCCCACTGTCACTTTAAGACATCGGATCATGTCCAATGACATGCTGATCCACTGATGCACATCCGATACACTCCACTCACAACTGTTTAAGACATAACCGACATAGTTTAAGTTAATACTCTCCAAAACGGACATTTAGACAATGTTGTGTGTTTTTTTTGCCCATTCAGACACGAGAGAGAGCTCAATTCAGTCCTCGCGCGCTATATTGTGTCTATGGCTGGACGCTTCGGTCGTGTGTGCGCACAGAAAACCGCACCGAATAGAGCTTTTTTTTTTGCGTCATCACTCTTATTCAGATGTGCGCTCTACTCATTCTCCCAGACGTTTACATTGTTTAACGTTTAATGAGACATGCAGTGCACAATAATAACTCTAGAACGGTTAGTCCGTTCTAGAGTTATTATTGTGCACTGCATGTCTCATTAAACGTAAAATTTAACAGCTTACAGCTTTAGTAGCTGTAAGATAAAACCATAGATGTGAACAATTCAAATTAGGGCTGTGAAACGATTACTCGCATCCGAAATAAAAGTTTTACATTATATATGTGTGTGTGTGTGTACGGTGTATAACTGTTTTGTGTGTATATATATATATATATATATATATATATATATATATATATATATATATATATATATATATATATAAATACACACCACAAGCATTTATAAATTTAAGAAATATTTGCATGTATATACTGTATATATTTATAAATAATTTATACATTTTATATATAAATAGCACATTTTTCTTATATGCATGCATATACTGTATATAAATATATATTTATATATCACTTATATTACATATAAATATTTTATATAAATAACATTTTTCTTAAATATATACATGCATGTTTTATATAAACAAAATAATTATACACAGTACACACACACACACATATTATGCTAACAAACTTTTATTTTGACGTGATTAATCGCGAGTAACCATTTCACAGCCCTAACTCAATTCAAGCAGACGTCATCGTTTGTGTAATTGTCTGGTTAGTTGAGCAATCGTATCCAGTGTTGCACATCCAAACCCTGCAGTCATTTCAGACAAACATGAGCTTGCAGGAAAAACTGCGGCATTATGGAGATAATCGTGTTGCTTTCTGTGATCCACTGCAACCCAGAAGCATTCAGTTCAGCATCACTTCTCGTCTACTTGCACAGGATCAAAGTGACCAACAGGATTCATCCCTAATGTGTACACATATATAGAGATACCGCAAATGTATATTCATATCGCAATAACTGGGTCATGAACACAAGACTGCTCTCGGCTGAATAACTTTTGTAGCTTTAATAAGAATCAGTATTTAATTCATACAGTGAAAACTAAGCAGTGTTTATTTGTACATGTGATTATTCAGTTTCTGTAGTTAATAACCCTAATGTAGGATAAGCTGAACACACTGATGTTAATAACACTTCTTATGCGACAGTAAAACACTGATGTTCACTTCCAGAAGCTGTAGGGATGCTTTACTGCCACGAAAGGAATGTGAAACACGCATGTAGGTTATATAACTTTAAATATATTTTAAAGATAATTTAAGTTTATTTTACACACTTTAAGCATTATCTATGGAAGCTTGTTTCCGCCACTGAATAAAAAAAAAAATAATAATAATAATAATTGCGACTTTTTATCTCACAATTGCGAGATATAAAATCGCAATTATGAGAAATAAAGTCGCAATTGCGAGATATAAAGTCGCAATTATGAGAAATAAAGTCGCAATTGCGAGATATAAAGTCGCAATTATGAGAAATAAAGTCGCAATTGCGAGATATAAAGTCGCAATTGCGAGATATAAAGTCGCAATTATGAGAAATAAAGTCGCAATTGCGAGAAAAAAAAAACAGAATTGCGACTTTTTATCTCACAATTCAGACTTTTTTTCTCACAATTGCGAGTTTACATCTCGTAATTCTGACTTTATAACACATAATTGCGAGTTTATATCTCGAAATTCTGACATCTTTTCTCAGAATTGTGAGATATAAACTCGCAATTGCGACGTTATCAGGCCAATTCTAAGGGGGGAAAAAGACTAACTTTTTTCCCCTCAGAATAGTTTATATCTCACAATTCTGACTTTAAAACACGCAATTCTGACTTTATATCTCGCAATTGCGACTTTATATCAATCAATTCTGACTTTACAACACGCAATTGCGACTTTATATCACGCAATTGCGACTTTATAACCTGCAATTGCAACTTTATATCAATAAATTCTGACTTTATATCTCGCAATTCTGACTTTATAACACGCAATTGCGATTTTATATAACGCAATTCTGACTTTAT